GAATGTATTTCCCCTATTGTAACACTTTGCTGTTTGTGGCACATCTTCTTCATAGAGGCAGTATAGGGGTCATAATGTGGGGCATTCCTGTGAACTTAATTTTTCTTTATTCTCATGCTTGATTCCTTTTTGGCAGCTGGCCAAATGGGGAAGTCATCTCAAGACCTGCTCTCTTGCCCACAGTCACACTTGCTTGTGTTTCTGCTCGTCGTTTCCTTTGAAACTATTGCTTTTCTTTTCCTATCATTTTTTGTTGTCTCAACATAAACAAGTACAGAAAAATAATGTAAAATAGAATGATGGTACAATTATGAATCACATTCTTTCTCTTCTAAAATATTAGTTTAGATTCATTTGGTAAAAGAGAGAAAGTTCAGACTTTGCTGTCATAGCAGGGGGCTTTGGATTCCATTTTTCTCCAAATCTAGCAGGTCATGGTGATGGCCTCCCACTCATTTTATTTATTTATTTATTTATTTATTTATTTATTTATATCCTGCCTTGTTCCTACAAAGGGCTCAAGGCAGCTTACATCATTCTCCTCCTCCTCCATCTTATCCCCACAACAACCCTGTGAGGTAGGTTGGGCTGAGAGTCTATGACTGGCCCAAAGTCACCCAGTTGGCTCTATTGCAGAGCGCGGACTAGAACCCAGATTGTCTGAGTCCCAGTTCCATTCTCTTAACCACTACATCACACAGGCTCATTTTGTTGCTGCCATTCTACTCAAGTCCATAAGGGAGAGTGATCAGGGAAATCTGAAAAGTCAGGACCTCCCCAAGTCCAGCTCCAGTCAGAGCTATCAAGCAGAAATAGTTGTCCTTTGTAAGATATCATATATAAATCAGATCAAAAGCAGCAGCGGAACATCTCCCAACTCGAACAACCAGAAACTCAAAAAATCACACTGTAAGAAGGGGGACAACTGTCTCTCCTGTCACACTGAAACTTCTGACATGGCCAGTTTGTGCTGTCCAGAGTTCCAAATTTTGCAATTTTGCAATTGTTAAGACCTTATCGAAGTTCAAACAAGATTATAAATATATCCATTTCAACGTCCTTTCCAAATACATAAACAGAAATGTCCGAGAGAACTGAAATGTAGCTAGAATCCCCACCTCAAGGCTGAGCTGACTAGATGGCACAGTTGTCCTTCATTTCATTTCCAAAGCTACGAAGTGAACAGAAAAATTCTCCCCACATAGTATTCTCATGCCAAGGTCAATTTGCTCTGTTTGCAATTATCAGTTCAAAAGTAGAAACATTAAGCAGCTTTACAAATGAAATGTCATCAGACATCAAATATTGTCCATTTCAGAGTACTTCCAAAAATAAAGACAGAAAGACCTTTCACTCCTTTCCTTTCCATTTTCCAGTTCTTTTCAATAAAGTAGTTCATAAAAAGCCCTGGAAAA